TATATTAGCAGGGTGTATGGTAATATATCATTGTAGAGAATAAGTAGAGAACTGAAAACTTGTACCAAGTATAAAAAAAGAAAAAGGGAGTGATAGATAGATAGATAGATAGATAGATAGATCTTGAAAATGTCTAGAAGAGATCAGTATGCTATGGAGCATCGACTGGGCGGGTAGATTGAACCCGTAGGTTGATGTTGGGTAGGTTGTTAAGTAGGTAGGTAGGTAGATAGGTAGGTGAGTCCACGCGGAATACGACCAAGATGATGATGACGACGACTAAGATGATACTAGGAGAAGGTATAGTAAGACGATTCTTACGAACTAACTTTGACGATGAGTTGTGTGGTACCGTTCTGTATTTCCTCGTGTGTATGGTTTTATATATATATATACTTATAGATAGTATATGATCGAGATGAGAAGAGAAGAGAAGAGAGGAGTGTTCTATAGTGTTTACCGTGAGAGACACGTCGGTATACTCTCTTTCAGTCGAGAGTAGCACCGTGCCGGCACGCGACTTGCCCTCCTCCTCCTCCTCCTTCTTCTTCCTTCCACAACTCACTCACTCCTTCCTTTCTCCTTCTCCTTTTTCTTCTTCTTCTTCTTTTTCTCCTTCTCGCAAATCCTTTTCTTCTTTTTTCCGATAAATCCCTTTTCTCCTTTCTCGAGGAGCACTTCCAATACCAACACAAACACCAACACCAACACTAGCATCAGCAGCAACAGCAGCAGCAGCAGCAGGAACGTCGAGAGACTTGTCCTTCCCTTTCCACTTCACTACGATTCGCTACTTTAGAGGTGGATGCTTATGTGTTGGTACCAATACACCACTCCTCCTCCTACCCGCTGGACACGCCGGAATCCTCCCACCACCATAAAAACACGCTCACTATCTCCTCTCTGTCGTTACTCGCTCAGTAACCTCCCAGCCAACTAATTCACCTTTGCAACTGTACCGACACCCCACCCGTCTTTCTCGCAGGGGATTTGTTTCCTCTTCCCCCTCCTCTTTTTCTTCTTCCTCCTACTACTACTACTACTACTACTACTACTACTATTACTACTACTCCTTCTTCTTCTTCTTCTTCTTATTCTTCCTCTTCCACTTCTTCTTCTTCTTATAATTTTTCCTCTTTTTCTTCTTATTCTTCTTCATCTTTTCAATTATTTTAAAACCGGCCGCGCACTATTCAAGGAAATTTCCTTCCGTTTGCGACTTTTTCGTCTCCCTTATGAGATCACCCACTTTTTCTAATATTCAAACTATCGTTATTTTTCCTTCAAACGATTACGAATGTTTAGTTGTCGTAGGACTAAGATTACAATACTTTATCTGTAGATAGATACATTTTGGGATGACGTTCATGACTGTTCATCTTTCTTCATTGGTGGTCCAGATTGGATTTATTCGATTTCACGATGATCGTTAAGAATCGATCGATGTTAACTTTAATAATCTTTCATTTGAATCATTATTATATCCCTCATTATTATAATGATCCCAAATAATTGTTCACGTAGGATCAGAGAGGGGTTAGGGGGTTTCAAGTAACAGAATCGATTCGAGTCTAATTTCTACACAGGTCCCGTATTACCGGTTTTTCAACATTCCACTCGTACCGATCCGCGTGTGCTGTTGTTGTCCTAGGACCAGAATCGGTTCTCTTTTTCTTTTTTATTTTTTTCTTTCTTCTTTTTCTTGGTATTTTGTTCTGTTTTTTTTTTTATTTCTCTTCCTTCCAGGGTATTATTACGGTTTCAAGACTCCCGTTCTACCTTTTCTACCACCCATTACATTCGCTCGTTATCCCGTTTTACTCTTCTACTACTACGATTCTCTTCCTGCCTCTTAACGCGTGCCACCGGACACGAAACCACCGATGGTTGGTTTAGGTCAGTAGGCGTCCACTTTCATCCTGCTTTAGGGCACTTACTAGAGACCGTTAGGTTATTATATACTTCGTACTTATATATATAGAGAATATAAATGTGTATAGTATATAACCCTTTAGATAACCTGTTACTATTAATCTTAACCACACTTCATACATATCAAGGTTATCTTATGAATCTTAAATGAATGAAACGTTGAATTTAATTAATTAGGTTAGCTCGAAACTTAGATTAATATTTTTTATTCACAATAATATTATTTTCCAAATCGATATGAATTTTTTTCTTAGCAAATTATTTTTCCAAAATATTAAATAACAATTCAGAGAAAAATGTATGAAAATATTCATACAATTTCAATCTAATTTTACAAGTTTTTTAATGTTCAATCCATATGTTATATCACTTTAAAAATTATTTATTTTTACGTAGTATTGAGTTGATTCTTTGTTAAGTAAAATGAAAGAGTAAGATGTTAAGATCATTGGATCCTCGTGAATCTCCAGTTGGCTCCGCCTTCTTGCGCAACCTCGTTGATCTCGGACACAACGGCAGTCCTGACACAGTTACCTGGTCAGGGCGTTACGGTAGGATAGGAACAAGAAAAACAAGAACAAGAAGAAAAAAAAATATACAAATTGAGAAACTTGAACTACTCCTCAAGAACGTTTTCCTTATTCCTGTATTTGTTATTTATCTAACATAAATTCGAACATGGTCATACATGAACGTTACGTTTAGATGAAACACGTTTAATCTAATTTAGTTAATTAAAAAAAATATTTTAAATAAAAATAAACAACTATGTATGTGTAACCCAATGTTAAGATAAATTCAACAAATTCTTTTAATATTTATAACTGGTAATTGAAAACACTAAACCTTAAAATAATTTGAAATGTGATAATGAAAAAACAAAAATAAATAATTTCATTGTATATGCTCTAATTTTTTCAATGAATAATTTAATCAAATTTGCCAAATAAATGACGGAGACCTAGATAATGAGGAATTTTATTCAATCCAAGAAGCGTAATAGTTACTCAACAGTTGAACGTTTTGAGTGAACCGGATGAAAGATAGACGATGTTGACGATGGATTGACTTCGTGTGTTGGGTGTCACTTCAGGGTCGTCGATCGTGATATTTGAGTGTTCACACATATAGGCGGTATCGGAATTCTTATGTTGTCGAGGACGATAGATTATCTTTCTCATTCTTTCATTCTTAATCTTTTTTCTTTCTTATGCATTCTATTCCGTACGATGACGTTTTTTTTATACAAAGTTCTTAGAGTACGTGAGTGTTACTTACATCAGTATGATTTCATACGTGTCTCTTTACTAAATTCATTTGTGAATATATGAATATGCGCATATTGTTGTAGTGTATGTCTATATGTATATGT